TGGCAGTAGCAAAAAGTAGCAGGCTCGGTTGTGTAAACAGCTGTGGCAAACCCGAATCGAGTCACACAGGCACAATGGAGACTACAGCCGCTATTACGCTTAGTACTGCCGCGATGAACGACTGTTTGGAATGGGTTCAATAGCTTGCTTATGTGGACATACCAACAAAAAACCACCGTCAGGATAGTTGCAGTCAGATGATTATCAAGGAAAATTGCCTACTTAGTGATGAAATGTCAATAAAGTATTGGCAGTAGCACAAGAACGTACCACGTGACCAACAGGATACTGCCGCTCTGACTGCATTTCATCGGAAAGCAAATCAGGGAAAAGCCCCAACACGTGAGAAGGGTCGACCAATTGCTGGGTGAAAATTTGAAGGGAGCGTGCGAATTCTTGCTGTTGGTACAGGTAGTAAGCCTGTAGGATGGCGATTGGTCGTGTCTCAATCGGATTTTGTCCCATCCACGGTGCTTCCTTGGCCAAGAGTAGGGCTAAATCAAACTCCTGCAGTTGAGCGAAACAACATCAGTACTCAGAAGTTGAAGAATAACCGCTTGCATTGATGTGCTGTTAGTAGTTTGGAGAAACAGCCGACGCACTCATTCTTGGATTCGGTGTCAAAAAAATGTAATTTATGAGGCAAACAGAAAAAACGTTTAAAGACAATGGAAGCGCTTTCGAGTCCGGTAGTACAAACGGCACTGTCGGCTGAGAACCAGTGCTGCTAACCTATATCGATGATAAAAGTTCTGGGTAAGTTCAGCTTATATAATAATTGACTTCCCTCGTTACTCACATTCTCTTTAAGTCTACCCACAGACACATTGGGATGGTCGCATCAAAACGCGCAACAGCTTTCCAATCACATATTCCCATAGGTGAGGACAGAAGAGAACATAACCGAACGTTTTCTATGTTAATATGTATAGGTATCCTCCAAACAGTGTCTCTATATGAACCTTCGACGTCGCAGTATGAATCTGCGGATGTCCGGTAGGCAGATGGGGGTACCTCCAGTTTCTATGTTAATATGTATAGGTATCCTCCGAACAGTGTCTCTATATGAAACTTCGACGTCGCAGTATGAATCTGCGAATGTGCGGTAGGCAGATAGGGTACCTCAAACGCACTACTACGCTCCACAATAACGCACTGATGATGCCACCTCGATTGGTGATGAAACGTTTGCAATCAAATTGCCCAGTTCAGCGAACAAGCCAACGACCACCAGATATGATATGATTCCACTGCTGGAACCAACCAGAATGTTCTATAGGGATTTATGAATCCTTATCACAAATCACATAGTGCATCTGAAGCGTCATGAAGTTTCAGTCGCTCATGTGTGGAAAACCTTGTGATTATACATAGATGAGTGACTGGAGAAACATGACCAGTTGACAGTGAAAAACACTGCATATCAAAACGACTTGTCCTGCCTTCCATGCTACATCTTGTCATTGGCGCACAAAACAGCTGTTCTGATGCCTTTCTTGCACGGCCACCGAATATCTCCGGGCAATCACAATCCTGACCGCCAAACGATCAATTTTGGGGCCAAGGTCGATTATGTTCTGACTGGCTACACAACAGCCAAGGGGGATTGAGCACATTTAGTTTCATGTTAAAATGTTTGAAGATGACAGAATACTTTAGTTCAAGAGTTGTAAATCACACACCATTCAACCAGTCTAACGGCGGATAATACTGATGAAGCATGCGAGTAGCATGTGGTTTTCTCGGAACTCCGCCTCGAGTCTAATGAAAGGTGTGGATTATTATGGAAATTGTGGAACTGCTTTGCAGCGTTCATTTACACTTACGTGACTGTCAGTGAATACCCTCGAAAGTTCAAGAAGACGCGTGAGGATATTTCAGTCTTTAAAAACAAAGTCATATGAGATGTTTACCTTTCGGTCCAATAGTTTAGTTGGTGTTTGCTAATAAACGACACAAACCTTTCGATGAGTACCTGCAAAACAAGTAGAAGGGAATAAGAAGGCTGATATACTAATACCAGATCGCCCAAATTTAGACGGGAGGCAGGAATTCCGGTGTGGGCGGAAACCGAAGTCCTTTCCGGTCGCGAACTAGCACAACAACCGGTATCCCAGTTCAGGTACAGCACCTCTAGTGATAATAGATACATTCTAATGAAGGGACCCATCACACAGGTTGGAATGACCGAAGTATACGGTGTACCGTGATCAAAAGGTAGACGGCTGAATAGACTTTCCATTCGACGGAACACGTTTCTGGGTTATCGTGTCGTGTGAGGACACTCACTGAAACGTAATTCAATACAACGAAATCTTTTCACAGCCCTAGTCAGTTCGTTGTAATAGAGTCTAACTGTACCTCGCTTGTTGCTAGACAAACGGCAGTGAAGCATCGGTGTTGAACACTGATGTCATGCTGTCGATGAGGATGATGTTGCTGAACATATCAGCAGTTGTTTGCAGGAGCCTATGATTCTCGTTTCACACATACGCACGACAAGTCAAAGTAAGTTCTTTACGACTCTCCGTCGGCCTACAGTAGAATGCGACTGTTCAATTGTTTTCCTCTAAAAAAGGAACGCGATCACGAAGAAGTGCCATCGTCCACCTGTTTACAGAGTATGGACATGGAAGGAGAATGTGCCTGGCTTTCAGCTAGTCCCATCTTCACATCTTCAGCTACCTAGATGTTAGAAAAAACTACCAATTAAGGCAAACCGAATGCTGGAAACTGATTGAGTTTCACAGTCGCCACTATTTTTCTCCAAAATCCACCGTCAACCATTTTCATTAAGGAGACACCCAGTTGCACCAACCAAAATCCCATATGCTCGCTCCACAAAAACGAGCGGACTTACAAAATCGACATTTCAGTGTTTTCAATGTTCAGCTGGAGATTAGAACAGGAAGGGAAGTAAACAAGAGAGTGCATGTAGTAAGGACCGTGTGAACTGTAAAGCAAATTTGGATCGCATCCTGTTGATGTATCAGAACAGATGGTTACCCCACAAGACTGGGTTGAACAAATTGCTAGTAATACTTCAGCATGAAAGCCATGCTCAAACCCATAGAAACTACTAACCTTCACTTTGACAAGCCGTTCGACCAATGTGGTTCGATTGGCTGGTAAAATGACCCACACTTCGTTCCCACTCTCTGTGGTCTTAGGTCGAGGAGATTTGCCTGGCACTTCTGGTATAGTTGGGGAGGAGCGTTGAGGTGAAGGATTGGATCTGGTGCTCTCGTTCAGACTTGTATAGGCAGGGGCTGTCGCAACATAAAGCCAGCCACCCTGATGGCAAAACGCTTGAACGCGAGCAATCGGTATCTGTTGAACCAGTTCGCATGGATCCGCAACCCGTACCTCTAAAAATTGTTCCATTGCCTGATTGGATGGACAAAGAAGCGAAATCGATTAAAGGCGGTCAGTAAACTACTTGAATACGGTTTCCAGGCACTGTTAGTGGCTTTATGAGACAAACGAACAACCAACTGAAAATACATGCGGATACGCAGACACAATCACGAGGCCAGTCAATGATGGAATCCAGAAGCCAAATACAACACCGATATGTTCAGATGCTTTCTATCACGCTATGAGCAAGTTCATGAAGAATCCGAAAGTCTATATATTGACCTAGATATGATGCCATTCCTGAGATGAGCAGCTCTCTGAAGCATGTGTAACTACAAAGCGCCACGTGCTATCTCTCTTCATCAGTTGCATTAGATCCAGTTTGCTAGTCTAACGAAAGAATAAGCAAATACTTGGTGCCAGCCTGGCTCTGCTTACGAATTAGGTGGTAGACTGTTCTCCGTCATCCGAGGAAGTACCACCAACCAAACCAACAGGGGCATAAGTAGCTCACCACCAAAATCCGGGTGGAGGGGTTACACGTTTGTGTTCATTGCCACCTGAGATTTATAATGTATGTACTGTTGTATATCGTATCGTATTGTTTGAAAAGTTTTATTGTATTGTATTTGTGTTTCATCCAGCTGTAGCACCCTTTCGGTGCCTAGCTGCCATGCCACACGAATGAGGCACGAGGGCTGGGATACTGTCAAGTCGCCCAAGCTTAGACAGGAGAAGTCGAGAGGTAGAGGTCGGGTACGAACCACGGACCTTCCGGTCAGTAGATTCGCGCTCTAACCACCTGTTGTAGATTGGTAACTCGGGTGCATTCACTGGTGGTTGATCAGGTAGCCTTGATCTGTTCGCCCAGCTTGGCAACGGACTTGCAGACACCTCGCCACAATTCGAGGAGATACCGTCAGTGCGCTGTCGGCTGCAGATGACGCGCCTCTGAATAAGCGATGATGATGCGACCATCGTTGTAGTGCAACCTGGATAACTTCCTGCATCAGCTAGATATGAGTAGTGCGCGCCCCCGGACCACCTTTTACATACACTGTGCGTTTCAACTGTCTAGTTGTACCCAGTAGAAAATTATGGGTCATCAGATGAAAATGCTAATTAATTCAGCACCGCCAACTCTTTTCCACCCTCGGGTTTTACTTGCTAAGGTTTCGAACGATGTTCAGGTTGCCATGCGCGTGGCACTATCCATTGTGATCGAGGCCAAATTGGTCTAGTTCGGTGTGACAAGTCAGTCTGCAAACATTTGCCAGCCCAGATTGTACCAATTTGCATCAGAAACTGTGAACAATAAACCACAATCCAAAATCAATGGCTGACACGAAATCGATCGTGTTAACATACCAAATTTGAGAACGAATATTATTCTGCATCGAGAAATTCCTAGCTATTCTGCGGTGGCTTTGCCAACAACGATCTGCTTCAACCAAAAGCACACTCAATTACTCTGACCAGCCACCTTATGAAACAGGAAAAAAGCAGCGCGGTCTGTGAATCAAGTTGATGGCTGTGTGCGTGCGTGCATGTGTATTTCACTGTGAACCAAGACGTTGCGGCACAATACACATGCTTGACACAACTGAGGTTGCATTTCTGCCCGAGAACAGACTGCCTGGCGAGTTCGATCACAAACCACTCTAAAAGCCAAAGAATGTGTGCGCCGAGTCGCATAGTTGATGAGTCCCGGTTTGAGAGTGTGTAACACAATGACAGCAAGCGCGTTCGGAACTCACGAAGATGAAAAAAGCTATAGTTATCAGGATGGATACCATCGATTGCTCTCTATAGGGCCTCGGTATGGGGCAACGCAAGCAACGTGTTTATACGAAAGGACGGGTTTTTTTCAAGCAAAATGACACGTGTAGTTGGCGCCTGCCGTCGGCTTGGGAATCAGGCCAGATTTCTTCGCCATGAACCAAGTAAGGTACTAAGGCTCGATAATCCGTTTGGGAGGGCAGCAGATAAGCATGACTCAGTCCTGTGTATTGGAAATCGAAAAAGAGATTGACGATACAGCCTCGTGTTTCTCGGGGATTACAGGAAACTTGTCAAGTCGGGCTGAAACCCTAAGTGAAGGCGATAGCTGAAATTGGTACAACGTAGACCGTTTCTGTGGTTTTTACGTATCATGTTAGCATGAATCCGAGATCAACCGACTAAGATAACGACAGTGCCTACGTCATTCTGTCAGCCACCAGTTTTTTTAATCTCCTGCCTCTAAAGTATCTATGCAGTAGACAACGAAATCCCACCTAAAATGATGTATTACAGCACTGCCGGCAAACGTCTGATGCGAATGATCAGTTGCCTGGTTCCGATCTTAAGCTCTGTTCCGACAGCTGTGTTAACCTTGTTGATAAAGTGTGATAAAGAAAACAGTGAGACCTAATCACATTGCTGATCAGCCGCTGGTGGCCAAACGGTTAAGCGTTCAGCCACTGGCCAGGAAGATTGTGGGTTCGAAACTCTCTGAGTTTAGTGGGGTGCGCGCTGCTGACGATTCCAAACAAGGATGAAACAGCTGTGCAGTACCTCTCGACTTTTCAGCATGGACTGGCCTCATCGATAAGATGAAACCTCTATTGAAAAACACTGAAAACTGACAAAGCCAACGCCACAACGAACCCTAGATAAAGTCGAGAAACACCAGTGTCTCCAAGGTTCGCATTATAAATGGCATTCAAAAAAACGAAAAGGTGCAGTGAGTTGTTTAGAGGTATAGTAACTAACCGCAATGATATACGGCGGATATATGTGTAAATGGCGAGGTGCACCAGTCCAACGAATTTTGGTCATGGATCTACGCTCCAGGCTGGAGGAAAGCACGTCAAGTACATCGTCTTTTCCCAATCCAAGTGGTGCGTCAGAAAAGGTCAGTGAAGCCGCATTCGATGAAGACGACGAGTTATGTTCCGCCGCAACTGCGCTAGTGGTGCTGGACAAGGACAGTGCATCGGCTTGACTGTCGGTCGAATGCTGACGATCTCCACTTACAAGCTGATGGACTTGCACATCTGGAGTTGGCGTGTGAAAGCAAGCGGGTAGAAAGGATATCAGGGGTAATTGGTTACGCCCGGGGTTGGAGATGGATCGAATCTGTAGGAAAGGAACACGAGGTGAAACATGCGACGGGAACATGTCGTGGACAGAAAATTCCAATCTAATTATCACAAAAACAGACGAAGGAACTCTGCTGCTGGAGGCAGTGCGGGTTTCACATCGAAAATGCAAGGTATTATATGTGGATAACAGTAGGGAACTACGGATTATCTGCTGTTTACGATTCGGAGTGTTACGAAAGAAGTCACAAATCATACTTTGAGTCGAGCGATGTCACCCCCTCTGAGTATAAGAACCTTAAATAAAAATACGACCAACTACAATCAGTCTGACTAAATGTATTCTCGTTTTTCCTAGTAATGATGGATCGCACTTTTCGAACATCAAGGCAGTTGATTGTAGCAGCGGTGTTTCGACAGCTTCTCGTCAGGTTGGCCACGGTGGCACACACAGAAGCTATGCATATCACAGGAAGGTAAAAACCGTTCAGCTGTAGCGCCCTTTCATGCCTAACTAGCAGCGGTGTTTCGACAGCTTCTCGTCAGGTTGGCCACGGTGGCACACACAGAAGCTATGCATATCACAGGAAGGTAAAAACCGTTCAGCTGTAGCGCCCTTTCGATGCCTAACTGCCATGCCACCCGAAGGTTGCACGAGGGCTGGGATACTTCCAGGTTGTCCAAGCCTAGACAGGGGAAGTCGGGTTCAAACCACAGACCTTCCGGTCAGTAAATTCGCGCTCTAACCACTTGGGCCATCTCGCCCAATGAATGGTCTGTTGGGTATACAATCGCCGCGTGACGACTCACGACGGTGCCGACAGAGCTTTCATCTTGAAAACCCCTCTTTAAAACCCTAAAATAGAAGTCCTGGGTGAACTTTGAAAAATTTAGACAATACGAGGCTAACAGCACTCAGATTTGGTGCACTGGCTCAAAAGAAATTTGGACGGCGTCATCTAGAACTGTAAGGTTTAATCGTAATGGCCAGTACGGCATTGTGGATAAAAGGTCAGACGAACTGAAACAAGTATTATCAAAAATTAAGTATAATGTTATTGGGTTCAAATAACAGCCATCGATGGCATACGTTATCCGTGAGCTTTTTGAGGGCTATACGTGGAGGAGTCACAATCGATACTGACCCCAAAAACGCGACCTTGTTGTTGGCCGAATAAGCGTGTGCGAATGGAGAATGGATATTGGGATGTATTGCAACGAGAAGTGGCGTCCGCGTCAAGAGAACAGTATAAGCTATGCCACTATAGCCACGCATTTGAACATGCGTGAAAGAACGTCTTCACTGCCATGTATTCTGTGTAATCAAGTGCTTAGGAGTGGGTCATATATAAATGTCAGTTACCATCAAAAAAGCAGCCAAAGCTTTTGCACTTCTAAAGTCATCACGAATGTGCCCCACAGCACAGTGCTCACCCATCCCACCTGATAAATGGGATGTTTCACCTCCATTAGAGCTTGGCCTCTCTTTGAGGAACCGTACTCCCAATAATAGCCAACCGGAGAAACTGTTGTGAATGCTCCACGTTCAAAAGCTACTGGTGCTGTATTTGCATACGGTGATAGAATCCAGAGGATCAACACGAACAATCTAACAGTTTCAGTTTGAACAGTTTTCTGTATCAATTCAAAACCAATATAACCAATATGTAACTGTGGCATTTCGATAAGAAGCTGAAGGCTATACATCGGCCAAAGAGTGTAAACCATTTTTGAAATATTCTGAAAGCTTTTTATCGACAGACAGAGTTAAGTTGATAAAGTTATGGGCGGGAAATATGACCAAGCTTCGAGCTTTTACGGTGGAAAAGGCGTCCGTCACTCTAGTTTAAAGGTTCGCTCTCCACAGTTACCCGTGGTAATACCTCATTTGTGAATATTCCGCAAGAGATCCTGATTGGACGTAAAGTTCAGTTGCTCAAGTTCATAGTTGATAAATCATGTCAACGTTTCAGGTTAGTTTATTACTGCAAACGCATTTGGTTGAAAACAGCCAAATTGTTAGAATAGGTATCAGATAGGTATGGGTGAGGCATCGTTTAATTGACTGTTTAGAAAAAGGTCGAGCACGCTACTTACTGGGGCCACAAGACATATCAACATCGTCAATCCAATCGGAGCTTCAGCAAACTCATGGGTCAGTAGGATCAGAAGATGCAAATTCACATATCACGATGCAATAGTGACCCACAAGCCATAAATGGAATGGAATATTTTGCTTTTTCCAGGCGCTTGTCCTCTCTTTAGGAGGATCGGATAATGTATCATCACGGAGGGGGGAGCAGTGTTATGAACTCCCCTCCGTTAGGTGAGGCCTCTCTCATAATGATCGAGGTATCGGTGAAATACCGAATCATCGTGCTTACCCACAGAGCACTGAAACAAGACAAGACCGAAGTAAAGGCACTTTCTACAGCCCGCCCGGAAACTGTGGTGACCAGCTGTCAGACAATATGTGCGGATGTTTTTGGTTACTCATTAGTAGGCAAAGCAAATAGTTATTCTCAGACTGAGACGAACAAAGGATCAAAAGGGGCACTCGCACCTTCCGTATCGAAGGGGCCAGTTTCATAAAGTCCACCAGGCGAATCGATGGTTACGCCTTGTCCAGCAGAGCAGTGTTAGTACGCACATTGCGCCTACACCATAACACTTTATTACCAAATATATGAGGAATTTCGGTCAGACAGTCGTAAATTGTGGGAAGTAAGAAAGGGGGACAAAGAAAGGAACAGCAGTTAGGTGAAAGACAACAAGTGTCAACTGAAGGAAACAATTTTGGTTACTCACATCTCCAGTGGTCAATGAGATTTGCAAATATTCGGCACGAGTCCCCAAGATAATATGAGTTGACCCGTAAAATTGAAGGACGCGCGCAGTATCGGAGACGGTTACCTCCGACAACCAGTCCGGTGTGATTGTGTCGGCTGATCCACCGGGAGAGACAAAATTCTGTCCTAGTGGATCCCAACGCCAGAGCATCAAACGCCGCTTCACGGCCACACAAATTCGCAAATTCACTGAGGTGGCTAAGCACGCGGCGATGTAGTCACTTCCAGAAGATACGGTCCCTTTGACAAAAGCAGGTAGAGGAAAGCACATGCTGAGATGATGCAGTGAGTAGGCCTAATGTGAGAATACACTTTGTGTGTTTCCTTTACGATTTAGCTCTGTTTAACACTTCCTTACGGAGACTAGGGCACACGAAACGAGTATATGCTTTGGTGCGCGACACAACCTTCATTCTTGTGATATATTTTCATAGAAGACAAACCCACTCTAATTACTCTTAAAAAGTACTCATGAGAGTACTGAGTGTTCCAGCTTCCCAATAACGGACGCCTCAACAAGTGGTCTACCCCAAGCATTAACCATCATTACAGAACTCTGGCAGGTTTCGTTGGTGATTTCAAAAACAAACAACAGGAAAGTGCAAAACATCGGTCGCCCGAATCCGATGGCCTTCCAAATAGACAGTCCGTGGGACCTAGTCCAATGTATCTGTTCTAGGGGGCTCTTATTCGGGCAGAAAGAAAAAAAACAAGTTTTTGCATGACAGTCAAATAGTCCTTGAATGAAGTATCAATTTTTAAAAGCCCCATCTATGCTTGGACCAAGTGGTATTCTCTCTTTATTTGGACCTGTCTGAAATAAATCACTTTACAAACGGTAGCCAAAGTGTCACGATACGAGGGTTCAATTATTCCAAAAGGCTTATTCACTGAAGTATGTACTGGACCAACATTTTCAAGCCTTTGGGATCGGTAGACTTTTTACCATCCACCATCTCTTCTTCCTTTGGGCTATTCAATTTGCCTTCTTCAGAAAGCCACCCGGTATAACTATCCAGTATAATTCTCTATGATATGTGAATCGGCACTTTCTTCAATTATCGTTACTCTTGTAGTCCAACATGCCCCAACAATGGGAGCATTGGGACTAATTACATGGTCATTTATACTGATGAGGTGCACAGTCGGAATAGAAGCGAGGTGAGGTTAACTTTTATTGTCTGGAACAGCCCAGTTGTGTTTGTCGTAAAGACGAAGCTACTTGGAAGCCAATTTAGGGGCAGAGTAATCGGTTCACGCCACAGCGCGAAATGCGTGCTGTTTAACGCATATAACCATCATAGCAAATACTTTGGGGTCCCACCTACCCCAGACATCTAATTGTGACCTTGGCAAACCGCCCCGAAGATCACTATTAACATCGTGGTCCACTAAAAGCTTTTTAGTTTAGCACTGTTTTATCCCATTTCACTTTTTACTCATAGGCTACGCATAATAAAACTCACGAACAAGCTAAAATCGATTTGATCGATCGCACTACTGTGTCGTGGGAAGAGGTTTACTTAAAACACACATTCACCTCCACACATGGCTGTCACATTGCTGTGAAATACTGAACCTCGTCTAGTTTCCTGATTGTGAAAAGAATTTCCTTCAAATGTGCTGGCGGTCATGGAAGCCTCACATCTGTGCCAAATAGTGTTTTCAACCAGACTCGAATCAGAACCACAAAATAAAATACCTGTGTGCCAGAGAAGTATGCCAGCACAATAAAGAGAGGTGTACGTATAAGGAACGCAATAAATGACGGGCTATCATGTTTCGCATCAACTCGTTGTTCGGCTTTAGTAACTTTAAGACGTGTTGAAACGTAACCATCCTCAAACAGAGTGAAATGACAGTGAACTATCGACGACTTTTCGTCAATTTCGGAGTTGCAAATCATATCGAATAAAAAATAGGTATGATCGATAATATATAGCCGAGCAATAACAAGAGATAACAGGTGACTCAGAATAGATCTAAAGAATGATCTTTCTGTTCGACAAGCGACTGGTAAATCCTCCTTGTGGCCAGAGGCTACCTGAGAAAGTACAATTCTTTCTTGTGCAGTTCCATGCTACCAATTCTGATCTTCAGACACCAACGATATGCTTTCCATTCGCGCTAAAATGCGCGTACTTGAGCAACGGACAAAATTGTCGCGGTATACGACCAGCACATTACTGATGATGGCAATTCGCAGTTCATGGGTTTGGAAAGGGAAGGCTTTACATAGGACGGTTACAGAAAAGGACTACAAGTTAGTCAAACACAGCTTGTTCATGCAGTGACACTATGGGAAATGCGTCGACACATCTAGCCGAAGCGTTTGGAAATTAACCTTTTACGGCGTTCGTATACAGGGCGTCTGAGTACACTGGCTTGTCATCACCTCTTCATAAGAAACACGAAAAGTTTCATTACGTCCTACTACAGGGGAAAGGATGGGAAAGCATCTGTAGACAAAAAACCAAGCAACTGTGCAGCAGTTATCATCGCTCCAATGAAGGGGGCATGTAAGACATCACTACCACTCTCAGTATTCTCAGTTTACTTTACTCATCGCTGTGAGGTTGTCCATAATTAGTTGCTGCATGTTCGATATTATATCAATGATTACGTGCTTTATATGGCTTCATTTTCGGAGTTCAAATCGAACCACCTTGCAGTCCGTATCCAATATCCGGCACTTGTACATCAGTAAGTCCCTGAAAGAGATTACGGATCATAACACCACGTTCGTCACTTGCATGACATTAATATCTGGAGACAGGTTACGCCGGCTCATCTGGAGCTCAGCGGTCTATCTTCCGACGTTAAAGTGGGCCATGACGGAAAACACAGGTACGAAATACCTGCCTATATCACCTTTGTCGCATGATTCACTGGGGCTGCCACTTAAACTCCGCGTGTGCAATCACGGTTCCAACAAATACAGTTGAAGTGAGCCACAAGGACAATAAGTTTAGAAACGCGTGGTGAAAGTAAGGAAGCGTAGGTACAGTGAGAGCGTAAATGGGAGGTGTCAAGCAGCCGGATTGCTATATCTAAGCTTTGGTCGAAGCCGCACATGAGTTAACCACGAATGGACAGGGAAAACCGGGTTTGTCCATGTGTGACTTCCACAAACCACTGAACGAGCCGCAATCCAACAAACTGGCATCTCACTAGATACTTGTAAACAGTTTGCAAAAGTTAAACCTATTATGGACATCCGTCAACTCCCACGATCAGTTGATGCTATTTGTTGCAATAATGGGCTACCTATCAAGAAGAGATCAGTTGTCGCTCACCTCCTACAGTAATATGGAAAACGAGTTGTTTGAACCTTGAAGCATCGGCCGAACATGCTCTCATTTAGGGTATGGTTGGGATGACAAACCAGGAAGTTCGCACATCGCGACCCAAACGGTGTCAATTCGTTCACCTAACCTTAAGCTCTTGATTACTCCCCGTACAGCAAACATTGAGCTTAAATTGGGGGTCGCAAGTATTCGACAACCAGTCCCTGTTCCGCTGGGAAGTCGAGAGACAACAACAACACAACAAACAAACGAACCAGTGAAGCCAATATTTATTTGGTTGAAAATAAATCAACACTGAGACGAAAGACCTTATCAGAACCCAAGTAGATGGGGGTTCGAAGAAGGGGCCTGTTGAGACAGTCGGTTGTTTTTTTTCAAACGGAGTTGCCATAGTTTCAGGTGAAATGGCAAAAATGCGTGGGCTTGCAACATTTTCGTCCTAGATGATGCAGCAACGCTAAAGATGGAACACTTGGGACACTGTCTACCAACGGATTTGGACACCGTAACTTTTGAATTGAGTGCTCTTTGTGGAGAGATTACATGCATTTATAAGGTTGCCGGGACCAGCATAGTTAAATACGCGGCAAGCGCGTAGTTGTGGTGAAATAAGCAAATGGACTACGTCAGTGATCAAACCACAATAAAGAAAGCAAGACAAATACTCAGCTGTTACCCCACACAACAGGGCACCTGGCGTTTCCCACGGGTGGTCTCTACAAAAAGTTGTAGACATAGTTCATTTATAAACAGCAAAGATCATTCAATTGGTTGGCCAAGTAGTCATCGATTCCGGTTAGTTTTAGTAGCAGCCCAGGGGGGTCGTATCCAACGTATCCATCGCTAAGATTTTAAATTTCATCAATCCACGTATTCGCATTCCCAAAAGAAATGAGAAAGAAGACGCTGCCTCTGGTAGAGGTTCATGCAAAAAGTACCGATTGTTGCTGCTCTCGAATCCCAGACACAATATCTGCCCTAACAAGTAAAGCAATAAGTTGACTAAGATAACGGCACCCTCTGAATACGCAAACTTGAAGAGCAGTGTGAACGTGAAGACAGCGATCTAACAGTGATCATAGAAGTGAAATTATGCCGAAACGAATTATACCAATACGAACTTCTACAAATGGGTACCTGAAGTGCTCAAAATGAGGTACTAGCCTCGGAAAAGTTTCGGCGGAGTAAATTGGGTTGTTCGTGAGCTTATCATTCAACTTAAAGTACACTTTGTCCTCTACCAAAAGAGTGCAACGATACTGAAGAGCATCCATTCAGTTTTACGAAATCCTGTAGTAAAAACTGTTACCGTGTCTCTGTTTGGAAGTTCGAATGCCATCCCTAATTCGGGAGATGCGAGTTGGTCAAAACCCATAAAATAACTTGGGAATATCGCCCAAATCTCCTGTTTATAGTAATATTCAAACGAATACGTTCCATGAAGGGTAACTCATGTTTAAGTTGGGATGACAGCCGATATACTGAAGTATTTTTCTCGACAAACCACTACTTGAAAGGCTGATAGAAACTCCTCGACAGCCCACTACAGGCCGCACCACCCTTTGGGCTCATCAGGTAGGCATAGTAACCGAGATGAGCAAAAGCAGTAGTGGGCTGTCGAAGTTTCCATCAACCTTATAAGCAATGTTATGCTGGGATAAATACAGATGAAATCCAAAGGGAGCAAGTGAAAACAAGTCATAACATAACTCAGTTATTACGACATTCGAGATACCACAAAAAATAAACGAGAGATTCACTTGAGTCTCCCGTGAAAACCAAATAGATTGCAAATGAGTCGAAGTTTCCATCAACCTTATAAGCAATGTTATGCTGGGATAAATACAGATGAAATCCAAAGGGAGCAAGTGAAAACAAGTCATAACATAACTCAGTTATTACGACATTCGAGATACCACAAAAAATAAACGAGAGATTCACTTGAGTCTCCCGTGAAAACCAAATAGATTTGCAAATGAGCGTATTTGTCGCAATCAGTCCAATTTGGGTTCAAGTAGAACATAAGATTGACGGAAACTCGGAGACTGCGCCGACCTGATGAGCCCCAAGAAGGGCGAAACCGGTCATGGGCTGTCGAGTTTTCAGCAACCTGGTGAGTAGCTTCATTCATTGAAAGTCATAACATACCTTTCGTTGGGTTGGATTCCTGCTTCCCTTTAGCTGGTGTCGTAAAGTGTGCGAACAATGAGGCTCCCTTACTCATGGGGACAATCGTGACCAACTGATAATTCTGCAACTGGTAAACATTCATTTGGCCATCAGCTAGCGCCAGCAAAAGATCCAAATCAGGTAGCGCAGTCAGCTGTAATATGGGCTTCCTTCCAAATGTCCGAGTGGTGTAGACTCGGGTGGAAAATGAGGGATGGGGTACGGAAGACACATCAGAACCCTGTGCTGTCGTGGAATCAGAAGTGAGTGATAAGTCATCAAGTCTTAACCGGATACTCTTTCTGGGTCCATCTCGATAGGTGATCGGTGGTATGAAGTACACGGGGTGATTCAATGATTTCGGAGTCACTTCATAGACTAATAACAGGCCTTGCTTTGTACCAACGATAAGAAAGTTGTCGTAACAGGTCAGACATTCCAGAGCATATGGATAGTCACGTAGAAGGCATATGGGGAAGAAGGCCTCATGCATCCTTACACAATCATTTGACCCTGAGAAGAACGTATGTATGAATGAGTGACGGGAACCGTGAATCAATTAATGGATGGTAAACAAAAAATAGAATAGATGAAGAAAGAACCATTTACTAGGATTCACGTCGATTGGACCACCACCATAAAACATCCCCCAAAAAGATTACCCAGATAACCGAACCGGGAAACGTGGGCTTTACGAGCACAGAGTCATGTGGAAAAATGTGTCCGCCTACCAACCACTCCACCAAGTGGGCATGTTCAAACCGCGGTTTATCGGGTTCATTCCATTCATTTCCAACAATGGTTTAATGACAACAGACGACCATGAAGGTCAACGAGGCAACGTTTCAGCATATCCTGGACGGTCTCTTGTCATTTTACGTCTTCATTAAACCACAGGTGGGATACCTCGTGTACGCATGGCACCATGGTCAGATAAGCCAGGACGTTGGAAGTGATCCAGCGGAGGTACATGCGTTGGTTTGAAGAGCCGGGTGATCCTGGAGGCTCATCTTTTCTCAGTAAATGGGCCATGCACAAGAAGATAACAGAGGCTTTTAAGCAACTGAAGAGATTATCTCTGTTTCAAATAAGAACGCGCCTTTATGCATTAAGTACAAGCTACTTCATGAAGGATGAGAGGCACATAAATGTTAAGAGCATGCATCAATATGTGCGCGAACATTTGTACCGTAGAAGTGACCAATCATTGGAATTAGATGCTTAGAGTTGGGGCAGCTACCTTTGGCGTGGAGTTTCTGGTACACCGTCTTTGCTACGGATCGATAGACCAATCAGGGCAGCACTGGCAGATTCAAGTTAGTTTTTCACATTATCAGGAACGAATGAAAAATTCGATCTTTTGTAATATTTCACTAAGACTTTTACTTCTCTCCGTAGTAGATAACTGAGTCGAAGTGTTCTTTCTTCCATTGGCTCACTTGCAGTATGGTCGACATTCACCCGGTGTCCTTTTTCTCTTCCTTGAAATTTCCAATCAGGTACTCACACTATCAAACGTGATTGAATAAGTTCCATCAATCCCCAAAATCGTCCTGCTAGTACAGTTACAACGCTGGCGATGGATTTCCCACGACCTCAACTTCAACTACCGACTCCAGGTAATTTTGTAACACCAGCAAAGGCGGATTGAGCACGCGCAACCGCAGCAACAAAATCGATTTGAGCATAAGGGGCTGATACCCGACTGTTCAGACTCCAGAAAGAAGCAAAAGTCAATCACCAAGTTTTATCTACAGACTTTACTGCTGATTCTATCACCGAATTCACTTTTGACGCCGATGCAGATCGAAATTTTGACTCTTGGCCCAAAGTGTATAAGGATATATTCAGGGTTGATTCTGCCAAGCAAGATAACCTGTGGAAGGTACAGCTGTTACTTTGAAAACTTGGCACACGTGAACACAACCGCTAAACAAATTACATACTTCCTAAACAGCCCAGTGATCTCAGGTTCGACAGCACAATCCAGACCCTCACGTAAATCTTCGAGGATAACACGTCCTTGTCCAAAATTCGATACCAGTGCCTTAAATTGGTTATGAAGGATGATGACTATGTCGAGTTTACAACACTTGTCAATCGAGAATATGAGCGCTTCAAGCTCAGCGATATGGATGAAAATCGATGCAAACGCCGTGTAGTTATATCTGGCATTCAGTCCTCTCGTCATGCAAACATTCGGACAAGATTGCTGCACCAACTTGAACAAAACCCAAGCATAACCTTACAGGATCTCAGTGCTGAATTTTACCGCCTCATCCGACTGAACGAGGACAGCACAATGATCAGCCAAGCATCAGCTAGTTCATACGAAGTAGTGCTCCATGCTTACCCTAACAGGAATAGGACGTTTCAGCGCAACTCCCGTCTCAAATAGAATACACCTTCTGCACCGTGTTGGTCTGGTGGTGACTGGGGTTACGTCCGTTTTTGCGCGTTCAAAAAACATCAATGCCAGATGTGCCGTCGTGTTGGTCATAAGGAGTTTGTTTCCTACGGACAACCAAGCCGATTGCTCATCAAAACAGCGCACTTAAAACGGCTTCTACATAACGGAAGCGATGGCGATTGAATTGTCATCGTATCATTCAAATCAGATTTCACATCCTGCAGGAAACCATCGCACTGTCCGTGAATAATCTTCCTGTCTGTCCGCAGCTCGGGAGAGCCTGTTGCTTGAGATTCAGCACCTAGGCCAATTCACTTGAGTCACTCCAAGAGCAGTGTGTAGCATTTTGCAGGGTTACGAACAATGCCTTCCAATAAGAGTCAACATCATAAGACGCCTCGTCGGAAAGGAACTTCAACAATCAGTTCTGATAGGGGTAAATAGCTACGATCTTGGGCCGGTAGTTGAGATAATAGATGGATGAATACAGGGGTGTAAGTGAACTTTTAACTGGGGAGTGGGAAAACCCAATGATGAGGGCAACAGCTTGGATACATGCGCGCTATTGAGCAATGTTTGGCAGTTTCCTGAGAGTAATCCCAGAATGCCCGAATCTTACTGAGTAACTCAAACAAACCAAAAGCGCAGTGTGGAGGCCGCAAAAAGGTTTTTGGCATTCTGCATTTATTTCCAAGAATCCGACCTTCCTGGTACTAACCACTGATGTGTTCGGTTCTGGAATCCATATTCTGGGAGACGGTGGTGACCAACGCAGCTGAGATTGCTAGTAATAGCTCTCATAAGTCGTTTCTAAGTCATTCCGTGACCTCCCTTGGCTCATTTATATCATCCGCGTCGTGCCGGGTGGTGCCGAGAGGAACTGAGCTTGATTGAGCTGGATAACCGGACGGCGCAAAGACAATTGTTCACTGGGATCTACTGCACGAAACGTGTTCAGCACTAAGGCTGAGTGCAACTCCCACGAGTCATCGCACCTGGGTCACCGGACACACAGAAGGAGAAATTTGAGAGAGCTGAATTCACCCATGGCGTTCTGAGATGCATAACCACGCTTCGGTCTTGTATGCGTGTTACGGAGTAAAGGATTTTAACAAGCATAGCCTGTTTGCCAATTGCACATGGCGTATGGACGTTAAATGCTCCCATATACAACGGATTTTGTGGATCCAGAAGGGTGTTATTTTGTTTATTATTAATAGGCAGCAGGGAGTATAAAGCCCTTCGGTCAGATAACTGATAGTCAAATGACCCAGAGACGTTTGGGTTAGAAAAGGATATCGGTGGACAACGAAATGCGCGGACAAATAATGCTTCCCGGTTGCCCAGGTCGAGGAAGGGGGTTTGGTTGAGGTTGAGCCTTTGACTCAAAAGTCTGACTCACGAGGCAGCGGGCAGTAGAGTTTCTTTTGGGAACCCCGCCCGGAGCCGATGACTCAATAGTCTGACCTGCTCGGCTGCAGGGGGTTGGCCTAACCCGAGTGCGCATGTAATAGGACATTAGTCTCGTTCCTGGTGCGGTTGCACATAGCAGGTGCCTTCTAAGCAGCACCGGACTCTCTAGTTTTAAAAGTATTTCGACCGTACTGGGTAATGTGTTGGTGGTCACGGCCAATCGCTGGGCGATCGGAGTGTGCGGTTTTTGGGGACGAAGCTTCCTAACCCGTCCCTCCTGGGGGGAACGCAACATCGCTGCTTCCACAAATATGGACATGCTGGTAGCCTGGGGGAAGCACCTTACTGCCTTTACACTCCTGTCGCAGAGGACAGTACGACTTTACCACCAGACCGCTTCGCAGCACGATTACTCGTAATACGAGGTCTCGCTATCCTTGGTCTGACCGGTCTCCTTTGGTCTTCCTGAAATGATTGCACCTTGTGGATCATTACAGTACACAAGCCCGACCACCACGTCAAGGTGGTAGCTTTAGGTCGGGTTTGAAGGTGGCTGGATACAAGACATCCGGTCCTTATGTCTTCTGGTGCATTATTTCGTATCTTCCTTTTCCTCTGGCGGGTAATTGGGTTCACATCGCATGCAACTTTATGGAACCCCCGAGGGCTATATTGCAAGAGGCTAGCTAAACCGTTCTTCGTAGCGCTTGAACACCCCTCCAATCAGTCCATCAAAATAGGTGGGCGAAATGGCCCAAGTGGTTAGAGTGCGAATTTACCGACCGGAAGGTCCGTGGTTCGAACCCGACACCTGGCANACCTTACAGGATCTCAGTGCTGAATTTTACCGCCTCATCCGACTGAACGAGGACAGCACAATGATCAGCCAAGCATCAGCTAGTTCATACGAAGTAGTGCTCCATGCTTACCCTAACAGGAATAGGACGTTTCAGCGCAACTCCCGTCTCAAATAGAATACACCTTCTGCACCGTGTTGGTCTGGTGGTGACTGGGGTTACGTCCGTTTTTGCGCGTTCAAAAAACATCAATGCCAGATGTGCCGTCGTGTTGGTCATAAGGAGTTTGTTTCCTACGGACAACCAAGCCGATTGCTCATCAAAACAGCGCACTTAAAACGGCTTCTACATAACGGAAGCGATGGCGATTGAATTGTCATCGTATCATTCAAATCAGATTTCACATCCTGCAGGAAACCATCGCACTGTCCGTGAATAATCTTCCTGTCTGTCCGCAGCTCGGGAGAGCCTGTTGCTTGAGATTCAGCACCTAGGCCAATTCACTTGAGTCACTCCAAGAGCAGTGTGTAGCATTTTGCAGGGTTACGAACAATGCCTTCCAATAAGAGTCAACATCATAAGACGCCTCGTCGGAAAGGAACTTCAACAATCAGTTCTGATAGGGGTAAATAGCTACGATCTTGGGCCGGTAGTTGAGATAATAGATGGATGAATACAGGGGTGTAAGTGAACTTTTAACTGGGGAGTGGGAAAACCCAATGATGAGGGCAACAGCTTGGATACATGCGCGCTATTGAGCAATGTTTGGCAGTTTCCTGAGAGTAATCCCAGAATGCCCGAATCTTACTGAGTAACTCAAACAAACCAAAAGCGCAGTGTGGAGGCCGCAAAAAGGTTTTTGGCATTCTGCATTTATTTCCAAGAATCCGACC